TATTCTCTTTCACCACTAGACTCTCAGAAATAGTAAGAATTCAAATACTTTGTTTTATTATTTATTTATTTTTTAACAACCCCAACCCTTGATTATAATGGCAAGTCACACATTGTTATCATCCACTTTTCACGTGCTGAGGGCTGCCGTCATTTTACAGCTAGTTAACATGTTTTTATATGATGGCTTTCAGAAGAGATGCATATATTTTAAGTACATGTCTTCTTGTAAAATAGCTTAATTTTAATAGCTTGGGATTCAATTTGTAACTCTATTTTTGTTAACTATCTGGTGACTATTCTGTCCTCTGCCTCAGTGGGGACATTAATTTATCCACTGTACTGTCGAGACGTTTAAGCTCAGTCTCAGGCTCAGAAGCGTTCCCCATCTTGGCTTCCATTACGCATGACTGAACTCTTTGAGCATGTCTAGCATGCTAAATACAGCAGCTCTTCACAGTGTGAAAATAGGAGTTGATTAAAAGCAAATCTATTTTAATTCTTCTTTGCAAACGACTCTGCTTTAATATGACCTTTTGAGTTCTCTTTACTATTCAGTAAACTCATCCGTTTTTACAGGTAAATCACAACTTACATTTTCGTTGGTGTTGTAGTCATGGGGTAGGCCTGGTCATAGATAAATGCTCTATTGTGGAGTTTGACATGGAAAACTTCTGTTTATTTATTTATTTTTTTTGCTATGAGCATCAATTACTAAGATTATTTATTTAGGTTTTTTGAGACAGGGTTTCTCTGTTTATCCCTGGCTGTCTTGGAACTTGATTTGTAGACCAGGTTGGCCCAAATTCAGAGATCCACCTGCCTCTGCCTCCCGAGTGCTGGGATTAAAGGCATGTGCCACCAGCGCCCAGCTATAATGTATTTTCTTATCTATTTTTGAGACAGGGTCTCTCTATATAGCCTTAGCTGTCTTGGAACTCACTATGTAGACTAGGCTGGCCTCAAACTTACAGAGACCCACTAACTCTGCCTCCTGCTTCCTGGGATTAAAGGTGTGTACCATGTTCGTCTCTATTTTTATTTCTAATTATGTGTATGTGTGTATTTCTTGTGGGTTCATGCAGGAGAGTGAAGATGCCCTTAGAGATCAGAGGCCTGGAATACTGGGGAGTTGCAGGTGATTTATGAGGTGGACACGGGTGCTGAGAACCTAGCTGAGACTTCTGAGAGGACAAGTCTTCACTCTAACTGCTGAGTCATCTCTCCACTGTGACCTAAGACCAAAAACAAAAAAAAAAAAACAAAAAAAAAAAAACAAAAACAAAACAAAAAACCCACAGAAAATTAGAGTAGATTGCTTTTCTGTTTCTCAGTCTGTTTGTTCCTCCCTTCTATGGGAGGCTCATGAAAAAAACCTCTAAGTATTTTGTAACATTGAAGGAAACAGAGAACAGCTTTACCAGTGTTTCCTGATGTGTTGCCGGAAAAAAATGCAAAGCACTGAGAAAATGAAACAGTCCATTCCGGGCTATGCAAAAAGTACTTGCTGTCCCTTGCATTGATCCACAGCTTTTGCAATAGAAAAGGTTAGAAATCACAAAGAAACAAGTCAGTGATTATTGCATCCACACCCCCACTCCCACCGTATGTTTTGCTCCTCCCGCCTCAGTTGATTTCCCTGGATGTATAGGGGCCATTGCGCTCATGCGGAGGTGAGAGGACAACTGAAGGAGTTGGTTCTGTCCTCCCACCATGAGACTTGGGGCTTGATGGTGAGCACCTTTGCCTGCTGAGTTATCTAATGGATCTCTGTATTTGGCTTTTTTCCCCTGTTTTTGAGACAGGGTGTTACTATGTAGCTCTGACTGTCCTGAAATACACAAAGATTGTCCTGCCTCTGCCTCCGCCTCCTGAGTGCTGGGGTTAATTATGAATGGCTTTACTCAGACCCTTTTTATTCAGGGGAAACAGTACCACTGTAACAAACCCTCTAGCTAATCTAGAACAACATTAAAAAATATATAGCCAGGCAGTAGTGATCCCAGGACCCAGGATATAGAGGCAGGCAGATCTCTGAAAATTTGAGGCAAGCCTGGTGTACAGAGGGAGTTCCTGGATAGTCTCCAAAGCTACACAGAGAAGCCTGTCTTGAAAAACCAACACACACACGCATGCACGCACGCATGCATGCACGCACGCACGCATGTGTGGCTGCCTGGGCTACATAGTGAATGAGTGTCTCAAGAAAAGATAGGAAGACAGAAAGAGGGGTGGAAGGCTGGCTCAGTGGTTGAGAACACTTGCTGCTCTTGCAGAGGACATGAGGGTTTGGTTGCTAGTACACACATGGTGGCTTACAGCCACCCTGAACTCCAATTTCTGGGGGTCCCTCTTCTGAACTTCATGGGCACCAGGCACACATTTGATACAAATACAATGCAGGCTAAACACTAAAATAAACCAACATACACGCATATGTTGACCTCTTTACTATTATTATTGTTATTATTATTATTTTATCTTATTTTTGAGACAAGGCTTCTCTGTGTAGCCCTGGCTGTCTTGGAACTCATTATGTAGATCAGGCTGGTGATCTGTCTCCTGAGTATTGGGATTAAAGATGTGCACCACCATCGCCCAGCTATATCTTTTATTTTTTATTTTATTTTTTTTTTTGGTTTTTCGAGACAGGGTTTCTCTGTAGCTTCGGTGCCTGTCCCAGAACTAGCTCTTGTAGACCAGGCTGGCCTCGAACTCCCAGAGATCCGCCTGCCTCTGCCTCCCGAGTGCTGGGATTAAAGGTGTGCGCCACCACAGCCCGGTGTGCCCAGCTATATCTTTATCCTTATTTTTTGTTCATTGGTTTTGCCTATGTTTATTTGTGTCTGTGTGAAGGTGTCAGAAGTCTGGGGACTAGAGTTACAGACAGGTGTGAGCTGCCATGTGGATGCTGGGAATTGAACTGGGGTCCTCTGGAAGAGCAGTAGCCAGTGCTCTTAACCACTGAGCCATCTCTCCGGCTCAAATATATCCTTATTATTAAGGTATGGACAAAGTGACATGTTTTGTTGTTGAGACAGGGTCTCAGCTATCTCAGGCTGGCCTGGAACTCCCTATGTAGCAGAGGATAACCTTCACTTCTGCTCTTCCTGCCCCCACCTTCCAGTGGAGTACTGAGGTTATAGGCATACACCATTAGGTGTAGTTTATACTGAGGATCAAATCCAGGGCTTCGTCCATGCTCCATATGTACTCTACCAGCTGAGCTATGTGTGTACCAGTCCTCTGGTTTGTTTTTTGTCTTGAGGCAGGGATTTAGTCTGCAGCTCAGCTGGCTTTGCATTAATGATCTTGCCTTCCCCCCTGGAGTGCTGGCAGCACATCATCTGAAGTGCTACCACACCCAGCTCACATTTGTATCATCTCAGTGTTGGGACTTGTTTAGTTTTGTGAACGTCCCAAGATTATTTCAGGTGATCAAATCGGCTGAAGTCAGGGATATTAAATCCAGTAAAGAGTGTTAAACCAATACAAGAAAGCTTAATGAGTACTCAGATTTCACCACCGCAGGAATATTGGCAGACGAAAATAAACAAATAAGAAAGAAATAAAAGACACCTTCACCCTTTGTAGAACAAAAGAAACAATTATGTGCAAGTGACCCCAGATAGTATTGCTATTGTTTATGATTTTTCCAATTCAAAATACTGCCTGTTCAGTTCGTGTAGCAGTATGGTGGCTCAGGGCTGCAGTCTCAGTACTGGGAGGTTTATGCAGACTTAGAATACTAGCCTGAGCTATAGGAAACCTTTTTATCAAAACACAAACAACCGCTCTGAAAGACCCTTCCAATTTAAGATAAACAAACAACACCACCAAAACAACAGGAAGAACTGGGAGTGTAGCTCAGTGATAAAGAGCCCTTGTTAGGCGTGAGCAAGGCCCTTGGTCAGAACCCCGTGTGTACTATGCACTTCATAATATATATTTCTTTTGTTTATAAAGACAGGGTTTCTCTGTAGCTTTGGAGTCTGTTCTGTCACTAGCTCTTGTAGAACAGTTTGGCCTCGAACTCACAGAGATCCACCTGCCTCTGCCTCTCGAGTTCTGGGATTAAAGGCGTGTGCCACCACCACCCGGCACACTTCATAATATTTAATGGTACTGGACATAGAATCTTGGCTTCAACTGAAGCACCATTACTTTTGTGTATGAAGAATTAAAAGAATGAGTTTGCTGACAGTTTTAATGAACTAGTATTCCCCCCTGTTATTCTACAGTTGCCTTTTAAGGCTTTATCTTTCTGTAAAGAGGCCTTTTGTAAAAAGTCAACTGCAAGTTTCAAAAGCCTGGAAAGGCTGGAGGTCTATTACCCCCTGTTTAAACTACAAACTATGCCAAACTCTCAGAGGGGAACTGTATGAGACGCCTGTATTATTTCAGGTCTAGTTCTTGCGTACCGTAACTATGAGCAAAGAGACATCTTGGAAAAGGTTTCGCAAGCTCCCATATAAAAAAATTGCTTAATGTTACAAGCCAATGATTCTTGGGAGGGCTGGGTTCTGCAGTTGTAGTCTCTTGTCTGGGCGGTGAAAAGGGCGTACTGGTTCCGACCACTTTCCCAAGCAGGCGGGGAATCCAGTCGACCGGAAACGGTCAGGGGCGTGACGCAGGGCAGAGAGGGATGGGTACTTTGTCTTCTAGAAGCCGCTGGGCCTCGAAACTAACCCGGTTCGCTTGTGTCTCTCCAGAGCAACGCCTGAACGCGGGGGAAAAGCAGCCCCAGCATCCTCGGGCACCTCGGGCTGCCAGCCTCCCGCCCCGCGTCGCGCCTGCGCACTAAGTTGAGTGCGCGGGCGCCGCTTCCCGGCTCCGCATTCCTCCCACTTCAGGGCCCCGCGCGCCTGCGCGCCAGCTGGGAGGAACTCGGCGCCGGGGCGGGAGGACGCGCGCGCGCCCGCGGTCAGGGGGCGGTGGCCAGGCGGCGGGAGGCGGGCCGCGCGCGCCGGTGGGAAGCGTCCGGCAGCCACAGCGCCGGCTCCGTCGTAGTCGCGGCCGCCCGGGTCTCGCTCGCCCCTCCTCCAGCTCCCCCGCCCGCCGCCGCCCGCGCGCATGCGCCGCCGGAGCGCGAGGGTCGGCTTCGGGTGTGTGGTGGCGGCAGAGCGGAGCTGCGAGGCCCGAGAGTCAGAACCTGGGGGAGAGGGATGGTCTCTGCACCGGGGGGAGCCGGAGGAGCCGCCGCCGCTGCCGACGCCACCGCCGCAGCCGCCGCCGCCGCCGCCCCGGCGCCCGCCTCTCAGCGCTGACGGCCGCGTACGAAGCCGGCGAGGGGGAGCCAGCCACCACGGTCGCCGGCACGCCGCCCAGCATGGTCCGGGAAACCAGGCACCTCTGGGTGGGAAACTTACCGGAGAACGTGCGGGAAGAGAAGATCATCGAGCATTTCAAACGGTGAGTGACACGAGGACCGGGGCCGCGCTGGCACCTCGGGCGCCTCTCCGGCCCGTTGCTGGCCACGGGCGGAGCGGCGACGCGCGGCTGGCTTCGGCTCTCTGGGCGGACGACTGCTGTGCGGCCACCGAGGAAGCGGGAGCAGTGGGTCCCGTGGGGTCGCGTCTTTGCGCGCCGCCCCGCAGCACAGCGCGGCCGGCCGGGTCCCGGAGCGCCCGTAGAGCCGGGGCTGCGCGGGTGCCGCAGCCGTGCTAGGCATCGTGCGGCACCGGGAGGTGGCAGGCACCCGGAGCAGGGACCGCTCCTCTCCGAAGATTCGTGCAGCGGCAGATGCTTCTGCTGTCGGTGCGGTGGGGTGGAGCGGACTGCCCGGCGCTCGACAGCGGCGGCTAGATGGGCTGCCCGTGTCCCGGGGCTCGTGGGGAAGGGAGCGTGGACGCCAAGGCGCCGCGGATGCATTCCCGCGCCGCGCTGGTGACCGAGCGGTTTTTAAAGGAGATCCTCCAACCTCCGAACTCGTTAAGGAAATAGCCAAAAAGTGCAAATCTCTAGCGATTAGGTGTGACTTTTCAGCTTTTCTAAATTTTTTTTTTTTTTTTGCGCGTGAAAGTTAAAAAAATAAATGTTGCTTTTCATAGGTTGGTAGCATTTAGCTCCTGTTTGCTCCCAGAAACGTGTGTCCGGTAACTGGTAGAGGCCTCAGAATGCATCCTTACATACAAAGGATTTATTCGTACTTTGACTTATTGAGAAGGAGCACAGCAAATCTTTGATCGTCTTTGGAAATTAGTTTTTCCCCATATCCAATATCCTGGAAGGTTCCAAGTTGGCGTACTTTGAATTCCCACTATCCAGTGTGTGAAGGCAGTGACATTGGGGGGAACATCCTCATTAGAGTCAACCTAGGGAAATGGGTTGTGTCGCCAGGTCTGGATCCTCTTTGAGGAGGCCTGGGAAGCGTGAGCGCATTTCTGTCTGTCTGATTGAGGGCCATTGATTCTGTTGGCCGTTGCTGTTACCGGAGTATTAAATCTTGGCCTCTGGAGCGCGCATGTGCGCGTGCCCGCGTGTGAAAAGGAGCTGGGCAGGCCATTCATAACCTGCCGGGCTGTCTTCCGCAGGCCTGGGGGAGGTGCGCGCTGCCCGGGACTGCGGGTGTTTACTACGTGGTTCCTGAGACGCGGGAGAGGGGGAGGCTTGGGACGCAGTTGGCCTCCGTGCCCCGGGATGAAGGGGGACTGCCGCAGCTGGAGCGCGAGCAGATGGGAACTTTCTCTGCCGGTGCTGCTCCACCCCTCACTCAGCCCGGGTCCCTGCCCTCTGGGAGCATATCTTTAGTGTTGAGGAGGAAACATTTAGCGGGTTTTTGGAGTGGAAACCCTCAGCGAAGTGCTCCCTTTAATCTCTTGGTGGATCTCCTGTGGGTCTCTACAAGGGAGATTGATACTCACCGACGTGCAAACAAACACGTGCATTGCCTCATTCGCTCAGCTCCTGTGTTCTGTGGTCAGACTTGACATTTTATATTATGCAGATTTTAGAGACACTGCTTGCCCCACACTTGGAGTTTGACCCCCTGTGCAAGATGATGGAGAGCAGGGAGGAAGTGGTTGGGGGTGATTCTGGGAGGCTGGGAAGTGTGGTGCCACGGTCCGGCTGGTGTGAATGACTCTCTAAGATGGCGGCCAGGACCCACTTTATGTGGGAATCGGCGGAGCCGCTCAGAATGCACGGGAGGGAGGGAGGAGGCGCGCAGGAGGGTTGTCTGGAGAGCCCGAGGAACACCGCGCTAGCAGAAGGCTCACCCGCACTTTGCTGACCCTGAGTTTACAGCAGCATTTACCTGATGTAGATAGGGCAAAAGCAGATGCTCCTGGTTTAAAAAAAAAAAAAAAGGTTATTTGACGCCTCTGCAGACTTGTGTCCCCGAAACGCCTATTGTAAAGACTACAGTGCTCACTTTCAAAGGAATGGATTTTTATTTGGGTAGTACACCTTTAATTGGTGCAGAGCATGAGAAGGTAACAGAAAGTAATCTCTCTCTCCCTCTTGACCCTGGAATTCCCAGTTCTCATGTTCCTGCACTTAGCCCCAAACAGGTACTCTCTTTTTCTGGTTTCTTGCTTATCTTTCTGCCTACAAAAAAATGTTCTAGGCGATCCAGCCGTGGAGTTAAGTTGACCAGCCTTTTATCCCTAATGTGGAATGTGCTTTGTTAAATATGTGATCACTACTAGGAAGGAAAACAGAATTTGAATCATTTAATCAAAAGGGATGAAAAGGCACCAAAATAAGGAAACTTAATGGCATCCAACCTCTGCCTTGTAGACCTCAGAATGAGAAAAATCCACGAAAAACCTGTATTAAAATCGAACCTGAGTGCCTGCTTCTACCCTTTTCCCTAGCTGATTGCAACATTAACTAATAACTGTTTTACAGGATTAAGAGGTGTATACTGGGAATACATTACATAAAACGCTCTGAAGATGAATGTTCTTTTAACAGTGGTTAGGCTTTTGCAGTAGGTATTTGGATTGAAAGGACAACAAAACACCATGAAGGCTAAATCAGACAGCCTTGGAGGCAGAAATGAAGTCTCCCTCCCTCAGTTTGTATTTTGATCAGTGCTTTGACCGTACGGAAGATGGAGGGAAGAGTGCTGATTTCCCCCAAACCCAGCGCCAAAGAAAGGCCGAACCTTAGAACATAAGAGTATTTTTTAAAAATTGGCTTTACCTTCTTGCATATACTAAAATAAACCTTCTGTGTTAGTTCTCTTTACAGCTTTCTGTATGCTGAATTAAGAAAATTAAATGACTGTTTCTGAATAGAGTTTTAGTTAACAAAGATTCTTTGCAGGGCCACAGTGGAAAGTCCTTTCCTTTGTATATTAGCAGAGTTGAAGCGTTGGAGGGAGGAATTGCACAATTGGTTGCTGTCTGGTCAGAGAGAGGAGTGTGGAATGGCGACTCTTTGAATTGGAATGAGCAAGTGAATAGAACCCTTAAAGACCTAAACACTCTTTTTGTCTTATTTTCAGATTTAAGTAAGTCACACACTGGATTTTGTTCATCCACCCATTACTGGTCCTTTATAGACAGGTTAAATATTTTATAGCCATTGACTGGGGTGTTCCCTCCTTAAAAACACTTTTTTTTTGTTTGAAATGTTTTAGCACAATGGTTCAGATATCTTTTTGGTCACAAAATAAAATAATAGCATATGTTTTCATCCATCCTTCCTAAGGAGGATGATATTAGAAGCCATCATTGCTATGTCCTTTATTTGCGATCAGATGGTTTCTTTGATGTCACCTCTACTTTGGAATATGGTGACTTTGAGTGTGTATTTTCATGGACCTTTTTTTTTGTGCTTATTTTGAAAGCTCAGGAAAATTCAGTTATCTTGGAGTAGCATTAAAATTAATATAGACTGCTTAAAATATATTTTATATTCTGTAAAAAATGTATGTGGCAGGTTGGAGGAAAATAGAGGGTTCCTTTCAAAGAAGGATGCTGGCGTTTGTCTTGGAGAAGGCACTCACCCAGCCACCTTTGTTCTAGGCTCTTGGTTGCCTTGGCTTATACTGTTTAGTATGCTTATGAAGAGGTCTCAGTCAGGCTTGGTTTATGAGATATTTTTAGCCATGTTAATGCTGAAGCTTTGGAAATCTTTATGTAGATAGAATGCCATAAAGATAGTAGTGGTGACGGGAGCAAAGCCTTGCTGTATGCTTCCAACTCTCACATTCCCTTAATTTGAAGTATTTGGTTATTTTTTTTTAATTTTTATTTTTTAATTTTATTTTTAAGTTGGTCTTCTCGTACCAGGCTGCCATGGTTGTTACTATTAATTGTATGACCCAGGTTGGCTTTCTCTCAAACTGCCAGGTTCTGGGATTACAAGCCTGACCCAGTAGTAGTACTACTACATTTTAAAAAGTATTTAATATATTTCATGAAAACTTGAATATCCAGTTGGAGATTATATATTTCTTTTCTATTATTTTTGCTCCCCTTCTTTATTTCAGCCGAGGATGGAACCAGGGTCCCACACATGGCAAGTTCTTACTGTTGGATCCCTGGGTTGAACCTCCAGCATCCAAAGGTGTAAAACCTTTCTAGTATTGGTTTGAGCTGCAATCAGACATTCCAGTGTTTAGAATGAACTATGAAGCTTGAGTAGTCACAAAAAAAAAAAAAAATTGAGCTTCTAGATTTGGCTATTGGATGATCTCCCCCCCACCCCAATTTTTTTGAGACAGGGTTTCTTTGTAGCTTTGTAGCATATATATATTTATATATATAAAAATATGTATATAATTTTATGTGTAATGGTGTTTTGCTTGCCATATATCTGGCACCCAGGGAGGCTAGAGGAGGGTGTGGATTCTTAGAACTAAAATTAGAGACCCATGTGGGCACTGGGAACCTAACTCCAGTCCTCTGGCAGAGCAGCAAGCGCTGAGCCATTTCTTGCACCCCTAGCTTGTGATTTTTCTGAGTCATACATACTGGTTTTCAAATGTGTGCTTTGCACATTTCAGAGTGTCCTTCCACGTGTCCTTGTCCACTAAGTTAAAAATTAGTGTGAGGACTTTTGAGTGGCTCTTAACCCCTTTAGTTCTACAAATCTTCAAACTTGCAGAGGCAGGGAGATCTTTGTGAGCTCTAGGCCAGCCAGGGCTACATAATGAGATGCCTTTAATTCCAGCACTTGGGAGGTTGGGAGGCAGAGGCAGGCAAATCTCTATGAGTTTGAGACCAGCCTGATTTACAGAGTTCCACAGAGAAATTCTGTCTCGAAAAACAAAGACACACACACACACACACACACACACACACACAAAGCAGACAAAGAATTCACCGAGTTTAAATTAGGATTTTTGACATTCTATTGTAGATTATTTTTTCTTTTCTTTCCCTCCTTTCCTTCTTCCCTTCCTCCCTTTCTTTTTATTTATTTATTTATTTATTTATTTATTTTGGTTTTTTCGAGAC